ACATGGGAGCCTCCGAATGTCTTCATACCAGGACACAGCCACACGGCGCCATTTAAAGGGGAACTACTCCGCACACAGACATTCCCTTCATCTGTGTGCCTCTCTGAAAGCAGTTTCACTTTAAAAATAAAATATATATGTACAGTATATTGCTTTGTTTTCTTGCCCCGCCCCCGTCATTCCTCCCATCCAACTACAGGGCTCTTGGAGGCACTCTCATTGGACAAGGGTTACAAGAGGGTGGGGCTTAGTCAGACAGGCTCCTAGTAGGAAGGTGAAACTCATTTCAGAGAGGAGCACAGAGGAGAGACCATTGTCGGCCGACAGGTTACAGTGTGCCTCTCTGAAACTAGTTACAATGTAACTTACTGTGAGGTACGTCCCGCCCCCTTTCATCTCCCTGCCCAATGAGAGCATGGTTAGTGGCCACTGTGGCACTCTCATTGGATGGGGGTGTGGCAGGTGGGTGGAGCTTAGCCCTGAGGTTGCTGTAGGTAGGTTCCTAGTGACCAGGTGAAACTAGTTGTACAGAGGTGCACGGAGGGGGAGGAGGAGAAGGAGGAGGAGGAAAAGAAGGAGGAGGAGAAGAAGAAGGAGGAAGAGGAGAAGAAGAAGAAGGAGGAAGAGGAGAAGAAGAAGGAAGAGGAGGAGGAAGAGGAGAAGGAGGAAGAGGAGAAGAAGAAGAAGGAGGAAGAGGAGAAGAAGAAGAAGGAGGAAGAGGAGAAGAAGAAGAAGGAGGAAGAGGAGAAGAAGAAGAAGGAGGAAGAGGAGAAGAAGAAGAAGGAGGAAGAGGAGAAGAAGAAGAAGGAGGAAGAGGAGAAGAAGAAGAAGGAGGAAGAGGAGAAGAAGAAGGAAGAGGAGGAGGAGAAGGAGAAGAAGGAGGAGGAGGAGGAGAAGGAGGAAGAGAAGAAGGAGGAGGAGAAAGGGGAGGAGGAGGAGAAGGAGGAAGAGAAGAAGGAGGAGGAGGAGGAGAAGGAGAAGAAGGAAGAGGAGGAGGAGAAGGAGGAGGAGGAGGAGAAAGGGGAGGGGGAGGAGGAGAAGGAGGAGGAGAAGGAGAAGAAGGAAGAGGAGGAGAAGGAGAAGAAGGAAGAGGAGGAGGAGAAGGAGGAGGAGGAGGAGAAAGGGGAGGGGGAGGAGGAGAAGGAGGATGAGAAGAAGAAGGAAGAGGAGGAGGAAGAGGAGGAGAAGGAGGAAGAGGAGGAGAAGGAGAAGAAGGAAGAGGAGGAGGAAGAGGAGGAGAAGGAGGAGGAGAAGGAGGAGAAGGAGGAGGAGGAGGAGAAGGGGGAGGGGGAGGAGGAGAAGGAGGAGGAAGAGGAGGAGGAGGAGAAGAAGGAGGAGAAGAAGAAGGAGGAGAAGAAGAAGAAGGAGGAGAAGACGAAGGAGAAGGAGGAGAAGAAGGAGGAGAAGAAGGAGGAGGAGAAGGAGGAGAAGAAGGAGAAGAAGGAGGAGGAGGAGAAGAAGGAGAAGAAGGAGGAGAAGAAGGAGAAGAAGAAGGAGGAGGAGAAGAAGAAGGAGAAGGTGGAGAAGAAGGAGAAGAAGGAGGAGAAGAAGAAGAAGGAGAAGGTGGAGAAGAAGGAGGAGGAGGAGAAGAAGGAGGAGAAGAAGGAGAAGAAGAAGGAGGAGAAGAAGAAGAAGGAGAAAGGAGAAGGAAGAGAAGGAGAAGAAAGAGAAAGAGAAGAAGAAGGAAGAGAAGGAGAAAGAGAAGGAGTGGAAGAAGGAGAATGAGAAGAAGTGGAAGGAGGAGGAGAAGGAGAAGGAGAAGGAAGAGAAGGAGAAGGAAGAGGAGAAGGAGGAAGAGGAGGAGGAAGAGGAGAAGGAGGAAGAGGAGGAGGAAGAGGAGAAGGAGGAAGAGGAGGAAGGGGAGAAGGAGGAAGAGGAGAAGAAGAAGAAGAAGGAGGAGGAGAAGAAGTAGGAGGAGAAGGAGGAGGAAGAGGAGAAGGAGGAAGGGGAGAAGAAGGAGGAAGAGAAGAAGGAGGAAGAGAAGAAGGAGGAGAAGGAGGAGGAGAAAGGGGAGGAGGAGGAGAAGAAGGAGGAGGAGAAGGAGCAAGAGGAGGAGGAAGAGGAGAAGGAGGAAGAGGAGGAGAAAGGGGAGGAGAAGGAGGAGGAGAAGGAGGAGGAGAAAGGGGAGGAGGAGGAGAAGAAGGAGGAGGAGAAGGAGCAAGAGGAGGAGGAAGAGGAGAAGGAGGAAGAGGAGGAGAAAGGGGAGGAGAAGGAGGAGGAGAAGGAGGAGGAGAAAGGGGAGGAGGAGAAGGAGGAAGAGGAGAAGAAGCAGGAGGAGGAAGAGGAGAAGGAGGAGGAGGAGAAGAAGGAGGAGAAGAAAGGGGAGGAGGAGAAGAAGAAGGAGGAGGAAGAGGAGAAGGAGTAAGGGGAGGAGTTATGTATTTACTTTGTTTCACACAAAGAGGATCGAACTTCTTTGTGATGAGTTCCGGTTTATCTTCTAAACAGCTGCAGAGTTTCAGTATATTTGAGGTCGGTCGTTCCTGGCGCGGGGGAGGGGGTTTAGGGGTGACCGGTCCTATTTATAGAAGGTGAGGGGTGATTGGAGTATCGGGTCACATCCTCCATGCAGGCAGAGGCGGAACTTCCATCCTCGTCTCACTTCTCTGGCCCGGCAGCGATTGGCGGGCGGAGATCATGTGACCGGCGCTCATTCATGTGTTTTAGTGACACTGTGACTTTAAATGGCAGACCGCACCCCCTCATTAAACATCGCCGCCAGGAGGACAGAAGGGGGCGGGGCTAGCAAATGGAGGGGGAGGGGCTTTTATATGGAGGTGAGATGTTAGTGATCATCGTCTATGGGAGGGTGTGACCAACGCACACGGCTGTGCCAATATCGCCACCACAGACTGTGGCGGAGAGCCATACGACGGCCGCCATCCTTGGCTTCCTTCTGAAATGACTGGCTGCCATGGTGATCCTCTGGCTTCAGCATCGTAGCCAGGGAAGTCAGATCTCCGTGTCTGGTCCTGGAGCCAGTAAATGAGCATTTTCAGAAGGAGGTCAGCGGCGGCGGCCGCTATATATTT